TCTGTCTCAAAAAAGAAAAATAAATAAAATAAAATAAAATAAAAAATAAAATAAAATAAAAAATAAAATAAAAAAATAAAGAAAGAACGTGTCTAGATAAAAATATTTGACTGTGTACTCATGGAATCATTGGCTGTCAAAGTATGGCAGTAAAATTTCAGAGAAAATGCAGTATAAGCATAAATAGAATACTGTAATAAGAAATATTTTATAGTCACTTAAAATAAACCAGAGATAAATTTTGCTTTAAATATATGCTATTCTTAAACAAAATGAAACTGCCACCATCCAACTTTAGAAGCAAATAGCCTTACATTGATAAATAAAACACACACACACACACACACAGACATAGAAGAAAATGATTAGAGCCTCTGATATATAAAACATATATTTGGAAATAAATTGTTATTAGTTAGATACAGGCTGAAGAAAGTGGGTGAAAATCCTACAATTCCTTTTTGCCTGCAGCAAAATTAAATTTATAACTATTTTAGTAAATATGGAGTGCCTACTAATTATCTAATTTACTTCAGGCATAGCATGTAAATTCTAGCATATTGTCCAAAATATCTATTTCAAAAATTACAGACAAGTTTGAAATGAAAAATAGAAAGTAAAAATGTATAGGAGTAACATCAGCAAGACAAAAAAAATAAAAGGTACCCTACTTTCTTATGCCCCAACAGCAAGAAAATTTGTCAACTATCCCTGACAAAAATGCCTTTATGAGAGAACTAGGCACCATGGCTCACCCATGTAATGACAGCTACATGGCACACTGAGGTTGAAGAATTGCTTCAGGCTAGGATTTCAAGACCAGACTAGGCCGAATGTCATGGCTCATGCCTGTAATTCCAGCCCTCTAGAGGGTTGAGGTAGGCAGATCACTTAAGGTCAGAAGGTCCAGAACAGCTTATCTTACATGGCAAAATCATGTCTCTACTAAAAATCCAAAAATTAGCCATGTGTGGTGGTGTGTGCCTGTAATTCTGGCTACTTCAGAAGCGGACCACAATAATCACTTGAACCCAGGAGAAGATGGCAGTAAGTCAAGATCACATGACTACACTAAAGCCTGTGTGAGAGAGACTCAGTGTTAAAAAAAAAAAAAAAAAAAGACTAGCCTGGGCTCTGTAGCAAGACCCCCCTCTCTAAAATAAATACCTTTAAGAGGGCTTTGAAATCCACAGAGAGATTTGTAAAACTGCTAAAGCTCAGGATTGAGGAGTGTCCTTTTCCGATGTCAGGCCCTTGTTCAGATGGCAAAGTACAGGTACTCTGTTCTTGACTAAAGACCAAAGAAATGGCCCGCCCAACTTGGTTCCACAGAGAATTCGGAACTTATTTTGTGATCATCCCAAACTGCTCCTAGTCACATTCTGAAAGAGGCCCTGCCCTTCCAGAGGCCTAGAGGAAGACACCCATTTACAGACACGCAGGCAGGCCTGCAGGCCTTGGCCTTTACTGTGGTCCTCGAAGCAGTATAATGACTCGGTTCCAGCTCTCTGAGCCACAGTTCATGACCAGTTCTGCCTACACAGAAACCCATGCAGTGGCATGGGAAAATGCTCTCTGGTACTCAAAGCCATACTCATCCACATCCTGCTATAAGCCCTGCCATTAGCAGACCCGACTGCATAAACCTGCCTTGCTGTCTGCTCTACATAGAGAAGTCCTGAAGGATATTCAGTCTGTCCAAAAATATAAAAATTGTGTACTTACAACTACACAAGCCTCTTATAACCAACCAAGGAAAGGTGGACCCTAGTGCAGACCCAGCAGCCTTGTGACCAAGCTACGGTTCCTCTCCACGGCAAACCCAGAGGGCATCCCATCACCCTGGGGGTCCAGAAAAAGATCTTTACCTTCTGAAACCATTCCTAAAAACTTGAAGAAGTGTTGGCTCATTCAAATTCAAACACACCAATACCAAACATTATTGTGCCCGTTGTTAATGATTCTATTTTAATATAGCACTGAAAATATGTGGCAGAAGAATTCATAAAAAAAAAATTTGTTAAAGCCATTGCAATTGAAGACAAAGAAGCAAAAGCTGCTGATTATAGATCATATAATCTTACATATAGAAAACCATGTTCATACATTAAAGCCTGTCTAAACTAATACACTCAGTAAATTAGCAAAATATAAAATTAACACACAACTCTAAATTGTGGACCCATACATGTAAAACAAACTATCTGATAAAATAAAGAAAACAATCTTAATTCAAATAGCATCAAAATAATAAATTTTGAGAACAAATTTAACCAAAGACGTAAAATATCTTTACACTGAAAAATATAAGATACAATTGAGAGAAACTAGAGAAGACACAAATACATTTTAAAATATATTATGTCTTTTGATTGAAAGAATAAATATTGTTAAAGTGACATGTTATATAAATTAACCTATAGATTCAATAAACTTCCTATGAAAATTCTAGTGGCAGCCAGGTGCAGTGGCTCACACATGTAATCCCAACACTTTGGGAGGCCAAAGCAAAGGGATTACCTGAGGTCAGGAGTTCATGAGCAGACTGACCAACATGGAGAAACCCCATTAAAAAAAAAAATATGTATAATAAAAATACAAAATTAGCCAGATATGCTGGCACATGCCTGTAATCCTAGCTACTCAGGAGGCTCAACAGGAGAATAGCTTGAACCCAGGAGGCAGAGGTTATGGTGAGCTGAGATTGAGCCATTGCACTCCAGCGTGGGCAACAAGAGCGAAACTCCATCTCAAAACCAATCAACAAACAAATTCTAGTGATTTTTTTTACCATAATGAAAAACACGATTCTAAAACGTACATAAAACTACAATAAATTTTGAATAGCCAAAGCAATCTTGAGGTAAAAGAACAAAGTATAAGGATATCATACTTTATAATTTCAAACTATATTTCAAGACTGCGGTAATATAAACAAAATGGAACGTGCAAAAAAAAATGAACAAAAAGAAAAAGAAAAAAAAGGCCAGTGCAGTGGCTCATGCCTGTAATCCCAGCACTTTGGGAGGCTGAGGCGGGCAGATCACAAGGTCAAGAGATTGAGACCATGGTGAAACCCTGTCTTATTAAAAAAATTAATTAATTAAAAAAAAAAAGAATAAAAATCTCATCAATGGAATAGAAACCACTACTCACACATTTCAAACATGATGCAAATCTAGAATTAAAAAAATTGTTTAACATAGTGTTCCTCAAAATAATGCAGGTATTTGTGTGTCGCCCAAAACTATGAAAAGGCAGTCAGACTGTGCAGTCTCTCATAGGCCATGAAGAGGACTTTGGCTCTAACTGTAAACTTGAAGATCACCGAAGGAAAAGCAGAATCCTCAGAGCATTTAAAAGCATAAGACAGAAGATGCTGCAATGTGAGTGCAAACAAACAAACAAACAAATTCAGGCTTCCCAGAAACTATTTTCTTTGAAACACAGCTTCCCAAATCAGTTTTTTTTTTAGACAGAGTTTTTTGCTCTTGTTGTTCAGGCTGGAGTGCAATGGCACTATCTAAGCTCATCACAACCTCTGTTTCCCGGGTTCATGCAATTCTCCTGCCTCGGCATCCTGAGTAGCTGAATTTACAAGCATGTGCAACCACGCCTGGCTACGTTTGTATTTGTAGGAGAGACGGAGTTTCTCCATGTTGGTCAGGCTGATCTCAAACTCCTGACCTAACGTGGTTTGCCGTCCTCGGCCTCTCAAAGTAAAGGGATTACAATTGTGAGCAGTCCAAAAATACAAAAATTATGTAGTTACAACTATACAAGCCTCTTATAACCAACCAAGGAAAGATGGACCCTAGTGAAGAGCCTGTAGCCTTCTAACTAAGCTACAACTTGGGGGTCATGCCTGGCCCCAAAATAACATTTTAAGGAAAGACTTTCTCTTTGACCTTCATCTATGTTGTCTGTGGTATTCATTTTCACTCTCACCTACCTGGGGGCTTGGCCACCATGATCTCCTGGCTCTTCCTACTCCAGACCTCTTTTTCTTGCTCCAAACAAATGATCAGGTCTGGCTTACAGACAGCAATTCCTGTTTCATTAAAAATAAATAACATAAATCCTGCTCATATTCTCCAATGACCAACTCAATAATGTGCTCGGCTACTAAATCAGACCCAATATACTAGTTTATAACAGACTTTTCCAAATATCTACAAAATACTTTTGATTTGTAGGTTCTTAATTTTACCACCCAGGACTATTGAAACAAAACTTGGTGTTGTCAATTAGATTTTAAAGTGTGGGCAAAAATACTTTATGCCACTAAATTTGTGGAATTACCACTAATCTAGACTGAAGGATTTAGATCGGCTCAGAAATGTGGACAGTTAAGGTCAAAATGAAACATCTTGGAGAAATTCTCTTCTACATGGATTAATATCTAAGAATTTCTTGAAAACAGGGATCTGAAACTAATTTATGCAAAGCATAGTTCACCAAAAAGTATTCCAGAAAGGAAAGAAATAAAATCTTTAGAATATATTAAGAATTGTGTATTGAAGTTTTCCTCACCCAGGAAGACCAGGTTTCTGTAGTTCTCTAACATCACATTTCTATATAAATTCCGCTGTGCAGTGTCCAGGCATTGCCACTCCTCCAGAGAGAATTCTATGGCCACATCCCTGAATGTCAGTGGTCCCTGAAAAATACACACACACACACACACACACACACACACACACACACACACAATTACTAAGTGGTCATAGAAAGCATTTTTAATTTGAGTCAAGGTGAAATGAGAGAGTAAAGAGAATTGTTTCTGA